TTATTACGAGTTAAATCCGTATAAAGCTCTAGAGTACGCCCTAGAGCGATTACTCGTAGTATACCTTTAGGCTATATAACTATATAGCCGAAGCTACATAACTCCTCCCTATCGATTATCTCCTAGGAAACTATACTAACCTACTATAGGAGAGGATAGGAAGTATTTCCTTTATTCGTATAGTAGATAGATTTTCTCTTTTCTTTTCTCTCCTTAGCTTTAGAATCCTCGTTATACGATAGTTAAACGAATTACTTTAAATTCCTAGCTAAACCCTTATATTATTCTAAAGCTTACTATTATACGTAGCGAAAGAGTACCGCGTATAAAATAGATAACGATTAGTAACTAACGAAAACTACTCTAGCGTAGGCGGTAGAGCTATACTAGCTTTTATAGGCTTAAAATTAAAGAATAATAATACTCGAGAATTAACTCGACTAATAGAATAGAGTACGAGTTCGTACGCCTAAAGTAACGACTTCTACGACGACGAGCGCTATATAGAAATTCGACTCTATACGACGAAAAACTAAGCTCCCTAAGCTAGCTAAATTTAATAGAAAAAGGTTAGAGTTTCGGTCGTAGCTTACTTAAGCTCGAGCTAAGTTAATAGTTAATAAGTAAGAAGAAACCGAAGCTATATAATTTTAGTATTTCTATAGTAAACTAAGGAGCTATATCTTTAGCTAGGTTAGTCTATAAATTAATTTCGTATAATTAACCCTCGAAATAAATACGAAAGAACTTATTAGTTAATTAAAGGCGGCGTACGAGGATATTAATATAGTAGAGAGAATATTACGAAAGCTTTCTTAACTAAAGTAGAACGAAAAGTTCTTTAGTATATTTTTTATCGAGTTTAATCGTACGCTACTTAAGGTCGACGAACTAAACTAGGCCGACTCGATAAAGAAGATATTTATATTAAACTACCTTTCGTATAACTTAAAGAGCGTCCTCGTTATAACGCTAATTCTATTAATCTATAGAGAGTACTATACTTTCTTCTATATAATTAATATAAATCTAGAGGCTCTTCGATAGAAGAAAGCTAGAAAGAAGTTATCTAGAAGTAACTCGTTCGATATCGTAAGTCGTATAAAAGATAAGATAGATTAGACGCCGACTATATAAGCTATAGTATTCTCGATAGAACTATAGAGAGCTTTATAGATATCGTAAACGATACTTAACTAGAGAAAAAAGCTTAGAGCGTATCTTTGCTACGACTAATAGAGTTACTTTATCGTTAAATACCTTCTTCTTTTCGTCGTACGACCTAAGGCGGAAAAGAAAATAGTAGTAGTAGAGACTATAGACGAAGACGAGAAATTATTAAAAAAATAGCTTCTACTAGAAGTTATTAATAGAAGCGTATAAAGAAGACGAAGAAGAAATAGAAGGCTTTTCGATCCTTAATAGATAATTAATCCTTTATAGTTTTATTACTTTTAAATAAGTAATATTATATATCGGCTCTAATTAATTCTAGTTATTTATTATACGATTTAATTAACTTTCGCTTCGCTTCTCGCTATTCTTTCGAGCGTATTTCTATTATTCTTCGTTCGATCTCCGAATTCAACTCTTTTATACGATCTAAAATTTTTAAAGTAGCGAAGGTTAAAGTCGATATCGATAGCTATAAGGAAATAGCGTTCTTCTATATTATTTCGAATCTAGCGTACGAAATTATCCTTAAGTTACTCTAGATAAAGAAGAATAGTATACGTTTTAGTATCGTAAATAACTTTCTCTTAATAGACTATTTTAATCTAGAAGTCTATAATATACTATAGAAACTCTATACGCCCTTAGACTATAGCTAAGTCTTCGTCGTAGTATTTAATCTACTAGTTTAAAAAAGTAAGAAGCGTATAAAAATTTAAGTATTCTCGGTAATAATAGCGAATATTAAAAAAGTATTTAGAGTAAAGACGCCTATTAATTCGCGTACGAAGCTTCCTTAATAGTACTACTATTTCTTAGACGTCTTTAGTCGTACGAAAGTAGAAAAGTTACTTTCTTTACGAGAGAAGGAAATCGACTACGTAATTAACTTCGAACTAAAAGATAGAAAGAAATCTTAAGTTTCGTAGGGCCCGCTATATAATATATCTCGAGACGAACTCTTAGTACTACGATATATATTTACTAAACTTCTTAATAAAGAATTTATTAAAGTAAGTAACTCGTTAGCGGTAGCTCTAGTTCTCTTTATACGAAAGCTAGAAGAAGGATTACGATTCTATATTAATTATCGAGGATTAAATAAATTAATAAAAAAGAATCGATATTTACTACTTTTAATCTACGAGACTCTACGAAATAGGCTACGCAACGGATTGAGTTAGATAATCCGTAGACCTTTTATAACTCGAGTAAAAAGCCCTATAGGGTTTTTAGTCCTTATAAAAACCCGATTAACTAAAAACCTAATAGGGTTTATACCCCTATTAG